TTTCTTTTTACTTTTAAATTTTTTTTATTTTATTATTTTGTGTGTGTGTACAATCAAATCGGATCTGACTGGTACAGAAGAAGATTGTCCCTCTTTTTCCAGCTGGTGGATTTGAACTGCAAACCTCTAGGCCACCAGAGATCCCTAGAAAGCAATTTTTAGAAAATATTTATTTCAATGTATTACTAATATGTTACAATTCAAAATCTAAATTCAAACAAAAAGTTTACTGCAATGGAACATAACATACTGCAAACTCTTGTGCTATCTATCATTTACTCTGTTTTATCTAAGATCTATTAAACATCCAATCTATAACTTCAATTAAGACTTTAAACAAAGAAAATTTATTTTTCACTTATTTCTGATGTGTCAAGCAATTAAATTCTATTTATTATGCCTTTAATACATAATAAGGGAGTTTTGGTAAGGAGTTGTGCTATCAACCCAAAGGCTGGTGGTGGTTCAAGTCTATCAGCTGCTCCTCAGGAAAAAGATGGGCAACCCCTGTGTGTTTTACAGCCTCTGAAATCCCACTATAATGTCCAATTTGAGTAACTTCCAATTGCACAACAACAAGAGAAAGAGAATACTTAGTATTTTATCCCTTTATTTTTTTAATAAATTACACTTCCATAAATGCAAATATAAATGTAATTGTATTGACTTAAACTGTACACTTCAAAAAGTTAGCTTTCCACAATTAATTTTTTCCCCATATAAAAATAAGTTGCTGTCTTCCAATCCAGATAAGATAATGCAGACTCTCTTCTTTCTGCTCCTCCTCACTACATACAACATCTGGAAATAATAGAAAAAGACGTCTAACAAGATTCTGAAAAGTGGATGGGAGATTAAGATTAATTGATTAAGGACCAAAGAAATAGAAGAATAAGAAAGAAATAGTGTCTTATATTACCCACAAGATCCAGGTTAAATGTATCCAGAATCAAAATTTAGCAGCTGCAGACAGGCCTGGTAGGCTCACTTCTACCTCTGAAAGTCCTACTAGTATCAAGTAAGTTAGGCATCATCAACAAGGGAGATCACCTGGATCTCTCCTAATAAGCTCCCAAGTGCTTTACTTACTTATTGGGATGTTGTTATTGTTATGTTCCATCAAGTCTACTGCAATGCATAGCGACTCTGTGCACAATAGCTCTGAACTCTGCCCTATCTTGAGACATTCTCACTATCTCTGACACATCTGCATCCATTGCCACAATCACTGTTTCAATCCATCTCATCCAAGGTCTTCCTAACCTGCACTGACCCTCTACCTCTCTGAGTATGATGTCCTTCTACAAGGACTGGTCCTTCCAAGCAACATGCCCAAAGTATGTGAGATGAGCTTCACCATCCTTGCCTCCAAGGTGCAACTTTGTCTCACCCTGTCCAGGACTTACCAGTTCATTTCTTGGCAATCCATGACATATTCAATATCCTCCAGCACTACAACTCAAAGGCATCAGTTTTCATCTGTCATTCTTACTTATTGTCCAGTTCTCAGATGCATATAAAATAACTTTGAAGGTCATCGCTAAAACTTAATCTCTAGATAGAAATCATTGCTTCTCAGCTTTCTGGAAAGGTCCCTGATAGCAGACTTTCATAACACATTTTGTCTTTCGATTTCTTAAGTGCTGATGCCAAGAGTGTTGTGTACCAAAACAAGATGAAATTGTTAACAACCTCATTCTCTTCTCCATCTATTATGATGCTGCCAATTGGCCCAATGATTAGAGTCTTTGTTTTCTTGATGTTGAGATACCATCCATATTGAAGACTGCAATCCTTGATTCTCCACAGCAAAAGCTTCAAGTTCTCCTCAGTTTCAGCTAGCAAGGTTGTGTCATCTGTAGGTTGTTGATGAGTCTTGCTCCAATCTTAATACCAGATTCTTCTTAATTAAGTCCAGCCTCCTGAATGATGTTGTGCATATAGATTGAAAATGTATGGCAAAAGAACACAGCCTTGATACATTCCTTTTTTTATTTTAAGTCATGCAGTGTTACCTTGTTATGTTCAAATGGCTGCTTCCTGGCTTAAGTATTCACTTGATCACAATCAAGTGTTCTGGGATTCCCATTCTACTCAATCTAAGCCATAATTTGTTGTGATATACACACTCAAATGCCTTTCCATACTCAATAAAATACAAATCTTCACAGTCAAATGCCTTTGCATAGTTAATAAAATACAAATAAACATTCTTCTGGTACTCTCTGCTTTCAGCCAAGGTCTGTCTGACATTCACAGTGATAACTCTAGTGCCACAGCCTCTTCTAAACCCAGCTTCTATTTCTGGCAGTTCTTTGTCAATTTACGATTCCAGTTATTTTTATGGAACATTCAGCAAGATTTTCCTTGCATGTGATATTAGTGACATTGTTAGATAATTCCCACTCTCTATTGTATCACCTTTTTGGGGAATGGAAATAAATATGGATTTCTTCCAGCTGGCTGTTCTCCAAATTTCTTGGCAAAACCTGGTGAGATGTCCAGGGCTTCTTATTTTTGTTGAAATGTGTTGATTGGTATTACATCAATTCCTGAGACTTTATTTCTTGACAATTCCCTTCAGAACACCTTGAACTTCCTCATTCACCATGATTGTCTCTTGATCATATGCTGTTTCATAAAATTCTGTGTCAGCCAACTCTTTTTGGTTCAGTGACTCTGTGTACTGCTTCATCTTCTTTTCATGTTTCCTGGATAATTCTATATTCTGCCCATAGCATCTTTAAGTATTGCAACTCAAGGATTGAATTTGTTCTTTAGTTCCTTCAGCTTAAAAAATGCTGAGTGAATTTCTCCCTTTTGACTTTCTAATTCTAGTTTTTGCACATTTAATAACATTTTGCTTTGTCTTCTCGAGTTGCCCTTTGAAATCTTCTGTCCAGCACCTTAATTTCGTAATTTGCTCCCTTTTCTTTGGCTTCTTGGCACTTTAGTGCAAAATTCATAGTCTCTTCCTACGTCCATTTCAATCTTTTCTTCTTCCTGTCTTAGTAATGAATGACCTTTTGCCTTCTTCATTGATGATGTTCTTTTCATCATCCCACAGTTCATCTAGTCTTTGTTCATTAGTGTTCAAGGCCTCAAACCTATTCTCTTTTTTTTTTTATTTTATTTATTTGAAATAATTGACATTTAAATGATCACATGCAGGTA